TCTCTCTCTCTCTCTCTCTCTCTCTCTCTCTCTTGACGTATTATCATGGTAACCAAATGCGTCACGCGATCAATCATGCTTTCCCACATCTCCATTTACGGTTTTTCGCGTGATATATATAAGTCGCGTGTATCGCGCGTGTCGCCGATCACTGTGATTTCAGCATTAAAATCATAGTGTAAGGATACATCAATTACTGATAATTTTGTTTTATCATTTCATGATACAATGCGATAGGGTAAATGTAAATGGGATGTAAATTGGATGTCGTCCAAATGACTGAACTCCGTGACTATTTTTGAAATGCAAAGAATTTTAACTAGCTAGTATTAATTAGCATGTTTTCTGAGAATGGCGAGCCGGGTCGGACTCGCGTGAGATATAAAATCTTCACGTAGGTTGCGTACGATATTATTATATGTAATTTAAAAGCGTCGCCCATTTTAGTGCGACGTTGATTTTTGCAATATGAAAATTTGACAATTTATTGTTCAGCATTCTTGAATATATTTTAGATATCTTGAAAGGTGTGAATTTGAAAAAAAAAAAATCTTGTGTCTTTAGACATTGTCTTGTCTATTTCTTTTTATTTCAACGTTAATTAGTATGGGTCTGATTTTAATTTTTTTTCAACTTTCTTCTATCTTGTAATCTTTTGCTGATCATCCTGATCCAGGCTACCTCAGTGACCCAGTTTGACGTTGTCGACATTACGATCGACCAAACAAGACTCGCGTGGGGACACCTTAAAGCGTAGTATCATTTTTTCACTGTGCTTCCTGGCCGATTGTAGTAGCCTCGTGTCTTGTAATAAATCAGCCCGCGAGAACGTCAATTAAATTTTCATTTATAATCGTGAAAGTATTTTCTTTATGAACGACCGCTGATTATAATCCATCGAGCGAGTAAGTCTGACAGTATAGCTGTTATTAATGAGATTAAAATAAGCCTTGCAAAATGATGCATACTAAAGCATTGTTTTTTTCGTGCGTACAAAGGCAGCTACACGTTAGTGAACAGGTGTGAAGATATACGTGCATGCTATATATCTACGCCATCTGTATTGCTCGCCATAGGTTCTCACTGTACACTCATTCTATCTGTACACGTGCGTCTACATATTCTCGTTTCCATTTAACTGCATCAGTACGCATCTAGCGAATAGTGAAATGGTCGATTCCATTATCAATTGCGAAATTTTGAATATTTTCTGTTATATACCTTTGAAGTATATCTGTTAGTCATGAAAAGAGTATGTTAGCTGATATAAAAATGAAAAACTAAAGAAAAATTAATGTTAACGATAAACGTTGTTATGTGAGGTAGTGAATTACGCCATCGCCATTTTTGATCGCAAATTATAAATCCGATGATCCAACTGCCGTATGTATTTTTTATGACCGTGACAAAAATTAAAAGTGTCATGACATCAACCGAGAATTCCGAGAGTAATAAAATGATAATACAATACACGAATGCGAATGGCGAATCTCATTTTGGGTTTGCCGTTTTTCTAAGCTACAGACCGGAAATTCGTGTCAACTTCTTTGTACGTGATTCGATGCCAAATTTCGGAAGGCCAGCAGTACCAGCAGTATGTTAATCACAATGTCTACGTCAATACATAACTTAATCTTAGACAGCCATCATAAAAATTGAATATGACTTGAATGCATAAATTTTCCTGAATGGCCTCCATATATCAATACTCAATTACTCGATATCGAATATCGAAGAATTGCAATATACATATTATAATTATCGTACCTTTTGAAATGTGCTTTAGCCTCCTCCACTTTATTCATGTCTTCCTTCAAAAGGTACACCTTGGCTCCTATCAGACAGCCCCTGCGTGAATTCAAGAAAATGTATACAATGCATATAATATAGGTAATTTGGTAAAAAAAGAATATCTCCAATTGTCTGTGTACCGGAAGTATTCGACTATGTCAAAGTTCCAATAATCGTAACCAAACGTATCCAAATCTTCTGTAGGTAAGTCGGTTAGGAGATTCAACATTTTCTCATTTCGAAACTTCCATTGATTAATGAGAAAATATTCCAAAGCGCTATTCGCAGTGAATACCTTTCTCTGGAGTTTGGTAAGCCTGTGCGAGTGAACGTTAAACATATTATTTCATAAAATATACCCAAGGTACGGCACACTCTCGTTTTACTTTTACATATTTTTATTCATTTCCTTGTTCGCTCTTCTGTTTCGTTCAATCCTTACATTTCTCGGCGGCCGCTCATTTTCAAAAATCCGTCCAGTATGAGTGCAGGAAAGAAGTGCAGAATCATCGTCAAAATGTAGTACAACAATTTACTGTTAGTCGTTAACGTGTTAGGATACCAAAGGATACCTTCCAGTGGTATTTCTTCGGTCATACGTAAACCCATTTCGACAATTTCTGCAGTCGTTATGCTTTTTATGCCGCATGATGCACAATTGTATACATGAGTTTTAGGGTCTTGAGTTACTCTATAGAAAGACATAATTAATTATTATGGGGATATATTATATGTATAGGCATAACCTGTATTATATTTCGCCTACGTTGTAATCCCTCTTTTCCAAGCTGCGCACACCATTCCCTTAATAGCAATGTCCACTGGGATAAAATCTGCAGACAATGTCGGATCTACATACAGTACTCGTAGTATCCCCTTCCCGCCGCCCACCATCATTCCCACGGGCCCATTGAAATTATCTAACCATCCTGGTACTGGTTCGGCCAGCGAAGATATTACTGGAAACATAATATTCATTGGCTGGGTATTCAGTAGTATAATTTTCATTGATTTTAATTATTATTTACTAATTACCTATAGAAGGTCTGAATATAACCACGGGAAGTACTTCACTGTATTCCGTCACTACTTGCTCAGCTAGTCTCTTCGAGAAGGTATATGTATTAGGCGATGTTCCTAAGAATCTAAATGTATTTTGGTTATTACTGAAAAGAATTGCTTGAATTTCTTTTCTCTATGCTTATTATCAGTATGCTTTTATTTATGACGTCATCGTATGCATTAAGTTTTATTGCTGTAACAGATTTTACAGTTACAATATAACAGAGATACTTACTTTGGTGTAAGAATTCTAAGTGTATGATCGTCTACGTTCTCTGCGATTTTTATTGTTTGTTTCCAATCCACCTCTGCCGGATATACTATTTCCTTCACTTCTGGTTTGTCTGCCTGACTATAAGTGGAACTTACATGTACGAATGCCTAGAAAGAGTGGACGTTTTAAATGTAAATTTTAAAGACAAATTTCACATAATTGAGACTGTAACGTATTAAGATTTCTTTTTTTTTCTTCCATTTTTAACGTCACGGTTATTAGTAGGATGTTAACCACAGAATTCCGTATAACTCAGTACTTGCACATTTTATTCCATCCTACTTACACAATACTTTTATGCATTACAGTTAAAAGGAAGTTCGACTCAGTTGTTACATATTGTAGGCTTGTCGTATTTCCTGTGTGTATATGCCTCATTAGGTGATGTAATACGGATGAACGTCCTGCCAAGGTCTCACCTTATCATGCTAAAGCAATCGTCGTGATATTTCAATGCCGCGCGTACCCGAGAAAAAAAATCACGCAAAAATTTCGGAAAAGTATCTCACTAGGATACTTCAGAGTCTCGCTCTGCACCGTTAAACAGTAATTTTCTGCGATAAGAGTTACTTGGGAGCTATCTGATTTTTGATGTGCCTAAATTTTACAAATGATGATAACTGCTTCAAATTAGTTGGGTGGTTTACAAATTAAAGAGATTATTTCGATTGATTTATTTAACTGTAAACAATTCCTTATTTTATACCACAAAAACATCGTGACAACGTCGAGTCGTATTAATTTATTTTATGAAATATTCAATCGATCAGTAAAAAATATTAAATACTCAAATATATCAATACGATAATAAAACACAAAATTTAAATGTATGCAAAATGAGTTTGACATGCATCTGTGTAGGGAAGACTGGTGTTAGTCGAAACAGGATGTGGAATAAAGTAAAAGAATTTAATCTGCCATCTGTTGATAGCGAACAAATTATATTAGCCTGCTGAGCTGCAATATTGTTTTAAGCTAAAAGTAACAATATTACAAGAAAATCAGGCATGGTTCATAGACAGTACTAATTATGATATAATACATTTGTGTTTTAATCGACACCAATTTTCTTTCTATCTTGCAATAATACAAAAAAAAATAGATTACACAATAAATATGTTTCCTGATGATAGTCATGCATGATTTTTTTTTGTTATTTCTTTAGATAAACGAGACATATATCAACCGTACAAATAACATTAATTAATGCTTTTAATCAAATGGCAAGCTTGTTACTTGTAATAAGTAATCAAAATTGATAATTATTTTCTTGAAGAAATAGTTTCTCTACTCAAGAAGTGTTGCGTGATTAAGAAGCGCCTGACATAAAAATTCTAGTAGTGTTAAAAATTTTCCAAAGAAAAATCAGAAATTTATTTATGTATGGTATATGCTAAAGCAATATCAAATCCTTACCAACAGTTGTTTCATGTTCGTAGCAAGAATACAAACATCTCTTGTTGCTCTTGCGTTCACAATAACAGCATCCTTAAGGGTGTCGTCGAATCTGACACTGGCGGCAACGTGAAATATTATGGAAACTCTTTCCGCAAGGACTCTTCTTTCCGTAGGAGCTAATCCCAATCCCTCCTCAATTACGTCTCCGTTTACGGGAATTAATTTTTCGAAACTCGAAGGTCGTTCCTCGCGAAGCTTATCGAACAGCTGAAATTTGTGTCGGATAAATAATTAAAGAAGTTTCGTACAGGAGATATTTTGCTGATATTAAAACATAAAAAGAAAGTTTGATATTTTAATAAGACCTAATTATGATTGTGTTATATTGGAAATTGAGCCTTATCTCAACTTTAGTCTCGACATTAAATTAAAAATAGTGGGCCGCAACTCCCTATAAGAAATGATTACCGATGGAAATTTTAAAGAAAATATCTAACGTGCCTCACGAAGAATAAATTTATTCTACAATCTCGAGTTTTTTTTTTTTTTTTTTTTTTTTTTTTTTTTTTTTTTTTTTTTTTTTTTTTTTTTTTTTTTTTTTTTTTACAAGGAATCATGTTTTTTGTTATACTATTTGATTTTCGCATCACCCTCTATATGCTGGAATACATACGGTATGCATTTTTGAAAACTGTCTAATACGACTTTTTACGGTTTAGGGTAATTAAAAAAATATTTAATTTTTGTTGTTGTTGTTAAAGTTGTGCACTTACCGGTAGCGTAAGGAGTGTTCTAAGCCGTCCGTCTATTGATGTTCCCTTTTTTGGTCGCATCAGCAGGAATATCTCTCGAATATCAGGACACGATCTTAGTAGCTTCTCTATGAGTACTTTGCCCATAAAACCGGAAGCACCGGTGATCAAAATACTTTTACCAGCGTAAAATGCCGGTACAGACAAAGTCCAACTTTTTTCCACTTTGACCATCTACAAGTAAGAATAGACAAAAGTTCTATTAAATACTCTCACGAGAAATGGAAACACAAAATATTTCTTTCAATGAAGTTAGCTTCACAGTGTATATTTTTTGCATGCAAGTACTATTCAGAAACATTGATAAATGGTTCTGTAATAATTTCAGCTGCATTTCTTCCAATTTATTCGTATTTTATTAAAACTTACACTTTCAACTTGAGTTACACAAACTTTATGTAATCTAGATTAAAATAATGTAGAAATATTTGTCTTCGGTTATATCGGCAATGCGACGTTCGAGGTAGAAACCCAAGTGACACGATCACTTGGTAATTGCAGGATGTGACGAACGTTTTTCACTCATTTTAATTCAGTGCTTTAGGTCTAGGGTCAATTATATTAATGTATATACTCTCCTAATTTGCATTTGAGTTAATCGTACAACGATAACGTAAGATATGATGCACGATAAACAGTATACGTATTATAACGTTGTTATATAGTGTATTTCGCTATATTTATTACTATAAATGGAAATATACAATACTTATTATTTATTTTAAGTGGAAAATGCAATCGTTTAAATAGCGAAAGAAACTTTAATTGAAATTTTATCTTTCAAATCTGATATAAAGTTCATACAAATTTTCAGTTCTTTCTAAACTTTACTTTTGACTATTGAATATTCATAGAAGGAGAGCGTCATGTTTAAAGCATTTTATTTCACGATGATTTCGGTTATAATAAATTACCATTACGAATGATAAATACTTGTGTGTACTATTAGTTAATATTGCTACCGATTATTATTTAATTAATCGTTAATTAAATTAATTAAATCGGATTTTTAGTCTATCTATAATTTTTGAAACTTATAAAAAGTTTAATTGAACCAATAGAAACTAATAACTTATATGCAGTTTCTTTTACAAGCATAAAATTTGGCAATGTTCTTTTTCATTTATTTATTAAAACGTTTTTTTTTTCCAGCGATCCATCGAATCTCCTTGCAAGAAGGCTATCAACTTCTATCTTATGGCACGAGGAGCTAAAAGGCTATCGCATGGTACTTATTTCGTTAATATAATATTTTATCAATTTTGTTTTTACCCTATTACCGCAATTTTTTATATTTATGCGACGGATATTATAAACGGATTGTTTTTTTAGTCAGCTTTCTTTTGCGGGACTACGCATACCTCATATTATCATGTTTTTCTTGTCTCAATTTTATTGTATGAATATCTTAAATTAATCGGCGGATCTTTGTATTGTGAAAATTCATTTTGAAAACATACTCTAATCAAAAAATATTCAATGGTGTGATTTAGGTTATAGTAACGTGATACCATGTGTCTTAGTTACTCTTTTATGTATCTTTAGAAAACTAAAAGAAAGAAGAGAATCAATTTTGTTATGTAAAGGTGATATCATACTATTTGATACTGGTGCTATTTATTGAATTTATGTTATTGTAGTTAATTTATTGACTGATGCAAAACGTCCATAATATTTTATGTGGTTTAGACGTAACAGAAAATATTTATTGTAACAGTTCGTATTCACTTTGTTGATTCGTATAGTTCCTATTCTGCTGCACGTTGCACCTTCCTCGACGGTTACTACTCCGATTAGAATTTAATTTTAGCCTTATTAGATAAGCAGTTTCTTTAGCCGAACCTACGTAATTATTCATTAAGAAAGTAGGCGTGTGATATTTTTCCCAACCTCAATAACTGAATTCAGAATAGATGCTGACTTGTTAGATGGCCATTATTATTATTATTGGTTATGATAATTTTACTAACGTATAATAAATCCGAAAAATATTTTTGCTTTGGGATGACTATTGAATTTTACCAAACGAATAAAAATTTAAACTATTAGTTGAAAATAATATTGATTTAGTTAAATGAATTGTATACGCGTTTAAATATTTACTCTTATTGTAATTCTTTTGTTGGCAAACACATTTATCGCATTACTACATACTACATTATTACATACCGGAAATCCCATCCACGGTAATGCTCCAACACTATTGCGTTATACTATGTTTTTATTCAATCTTAGTGTGCTTAAATATATAACGTTATTAACTATTTGCCTTGTTAATTTACTCATTTCCGTATTTGACAGTTTAGTTTAAGTTAAATCACATTATTTTTGGTAATCATTGTAATTAATACATTGAAATCCTTGTTAGCCAGAAAATGATTAATACCATGAGGATCGAATTAATTCGAAAATGTTAAAAATAACATTTTCATCGATTTTGAGTTTCTCCATAAATCATTTTGGGGTCACTTCCTTTAATATTTCTCATTGAAGCATATACATAATATACAACTAATTCTTAAAAAAAATCATATTCTTTCCAATTCCCGTGTTATTAATAATGATTTACAAACAGATGGAAATTGTAAAAGAACTACAATCCTCGCAATCGGTTGTTACGTCGAATTTAGGCGGCACTCTCGGAGGAAGTGGTTCCGACCTTGACAGCAATAATCTCCCGTCCTACATCAGTTCAAAGAGAATCTTCAAAACATCCAGTTCAAAATATTTAACGTTAGTTCCTTTTGATCCTTTACGTCAACTGAAAATTAATAACATAAGTTTAATATGTTATATGTATATTCTATTGATTATCATATACCCGAACCTGTGCCCAACATTTTATCATATATTGTGGGCATTAGAGATTCGACTATTGGGATTAAAACCAAAAAAGGTAAAAAGAAGCGAAAAAAAGTGGAAGTTGAAGGAAAGGACGAAATCATAGGTATTCCTTCTGAGATAGTGGACCCATTGTATGACGAATACGAAGAGGATCAATTAACTTCTTTGTGGTCATCATCAAAGCCTACGTTACAACCACATGCTTGGAAACTAGTATACTTATTTTTTTCTTCTTTTCAATTTTACATTTATCTGGCTACTCTAACCTAAATAGTTCAATCCTTAATAGCTTTCAACAAACAAGTATTTCTCTTGCGTGACGGAATTGTGTTTCTCACCCGTCTGGCTGATCGATAGTTTCCGGAAATTACCGTAACACTGAATATATCTGTAACTAGTAGCACAGAGAAGTATGTGTATGTTTGTGTATATACACTTTATAGAACAGTACCTTGATTGCCATTACTTCGATTTACCTCTGAAAATGGAATTCTTTATTCCAATTTATTTATCTAAATTTCCTTTTTTTCAGTTTCGAGAATGGACCGAGTCGCAGGTTATTGTTTAATTTTACTTTTATTTTAATTATTAATCTTATTTATACAACGATAATAACATTACACAGTTCTATATCATTAGTAATTCCCTAAAAAGAATGTGTCTTTGTCTAAACCGCATTATCTTTTAATCGGTGATATACTTATTACATTATGCAACGTTACTGGATAATATTTACATGAGGATATTAAACAGTTACTTTATTTCGTCTAGCCAATTCCAGGCAAAATAAAAAACAGAAGCAAGACTAAAAAAGCACTGATGTCAGTAGAAAGAGATAAGGCAGCAGCGGCCGCTATTGAAGCTGAGAAAAACAAGTGAGTATATTTATAGTATACGTAATACTGTTTGGTTCAATAATTATTATTAGATAATCATTGATTTTTCGATTAACTTATAACTTGATAATAAGTTGAAAATTGAGGGGCTCCTTGGGGCGAATGATCATTCAAATATTTACGTATGCAGTAATAATTATACAATCGCAAGTAAACTAATTTACGATGAAATTATTAATCTTTATATGGTAGTAGAGATAATGTACACATAATTTTAATAATTCTATCTGTATTTATTTTATTCACTCTTACGCACTTCACGGTTACCAAGTCTAGAGATAAATATTTAAAGTTTTCAAATTTCTTAATATTCTCTAAAGAAAATTTACCTGCAATTATAAAGGCCTTATGTAATTTTTATGACCTCATAAACTCTCCTCTTCGCTCCACCTGCAGCCCTTTCCCTACCATACTTCCTACCATCCACCGGGAAGGTGCTAATTTCCGATAGCTTCCGCCAGTCGTGCTCTGAACTTTGTTACGTTCTCTACTGACTTAACGAATTTGACATACGTAAAAAGAAAGTGAATAAATAGAAGTTAAAAATGACTACGGATGATTCGTTAGAGACCATTACTTTTTTTACTAATTACGCTGAAAGTGGACGTGAGAAATGTCGTAAGGAAAAAGAACGGTGGGCTTCTGTATATCAATTCGAAATAACGATTATTATTAGTCAAATGAACCAGTGTGTCGATATAATTTAATAACGCTATGTCTATAACATAAAATTGTTGTATCAATGTCTTTAGGAATCGACTGATAAAAGAAATGCACGAGGAGATTCGATTAGAAAAAATTAATTCTGAAAAACAAGCTTTACTCGAAGAACAACAGGCTGCTATGCGTAAAATGCAATTGGAGAACACGTGGTATACGGTATACGACAATGACAGAGCGTTTATGGATTATTCCATTGCGAATAATGAACATGATGAGGTAAGTTTGTGGTATGTTTTTTATTATAATTAGAAAATTTTTTTAATTATTAAAACAAAATTAATAAAAATTTATAAGTTTGTAGCTCGCGGCTAGTACACACATTTCGTGCGATTAGGGAAATAAACCTACAATTATTGTTGGGATGCTTGAAGTGAGTAGTGTGATAACTCTACTCACTGAGCTACCAGCCCAATTTGTAAATGTTACTTCAGTTAAGAATTATAATCGTCATTATTGGATCTTCAGTAGTGGATTTCGGCGAGCTTAGATTGTTTAAAATGTTATTTGTTCTTTAGTGGCTGCAGTTTATGAGCTGCGATGGTTTACCAGATCCTGGAGTATTATCAGATATGAACACATACATGTTTTTATGGTCTCTGGAAGACGAGGATGTGGATATGGATTTGCTTGCTGAAAAATATGAAGTTGTAAATGATGTAAGTCACAGTAAGGAGCTTCATAATTATTTATGTTCAATAATTCATGATGGGACACCATCATTATAGACAGTCCTTACTACACTCTAGATGTCCAATCACGATTAAATTTTAGATGTTTAGGCATAATTCACTATAGTGACGGTCTATCAGCTTCGCGTCCCCATTTATCTTTGAAAATTTCCTTAAAAACCGTAATTTAAAAAAAATATATATTTCATCGCTGTTCAAAATAGAATTATGACCTCCTGATCGAAATTAATGGTTGCTTCTTTGGTTCACCTGAATCAAAAAGGAAAATTAATAATTATTAATTAAAGAAAATTATACGTGACATCCTGTATAACTGCGTCATATATCATAGAACTTGAACGTGAATTTTTATTTTACTGCGTTTATACATTGCTATACATTAATGCACAATATTTATAAATGTGTCTTATAATGGATTTTGTAATAATTCCAAGTACAATTAACGAGATAATATGAAATATTTACTTTCAGCTGCTAATGAAGTTAGACAATGTAATAAACTTTTCTACCATGAAAGAACCAAGTTATCTGAACGAATGTAAATTAGTAAGTCAATACATTGTTAATTAGAATTCCAATGATAATTCCAAGGATGTATTAATAGTCCTGTAACTTGTCCTGTAATATTTAATACGTTTTATTATAGAATATACAATATGCTTATTATACATAATTTTACCGTGTTGTAATTAGATCAGGCAAGAATTCCGAAATAAGTTACAATTTTGGCTGGACAATGCCACTTATCGTTTATTACGTCAGATTGAAAGAGACATGGTTAGAGAAGATTTAAAAAATTCTCGATATTTTAAGGAAGCCAAAGAAATGATTTGTTGTGTATGGGCTTTGATAAGACTTCCAATTAGCATCAAACAGGTGTCAGATAGGGACAAGTAAGTAATTATTGCTTATAAAGCTTAAACGGAAGCGTCAATGATTTCATTCTCCCATTTCCTTACAAAGATTCTTTTTTCATTCGATGAACATTAACTATTCTGTTAAAATATTGGAGAAAGAGGTTTTAATATTCTAATCTATATTGATACATAAGCTGTATTAAAATAATTGTATCTCTTTTAATCTCCTATCTGTTGAAAATTCTATTTTACTATAGATTTTGTTAATAACAATAAAAATCATATTTTCTATGTTCTAATACTCTTTACAGAGATGGTATTTCATGTTTGATATTTCACTTTAATTGTATCGTTATAAATGTTTATTAGTTGGAAAAATTATCATTAATTATCAATATTTATTAAACAAATCTTTATTAAACGTTGACGAAGAATTTTTTGACAAGTTTTTTAATTCTTTTTAGAAAACCTGTTGAAGTGACGTTCAATGAAATCGATTTGACGATAAAAATGCCAATGGATATGGATTGCTACTGTATGGCAATACGTGGAATGTGGGCTAAGTATGATTATTTTTCGGATCAATCAGCTTCATTTGAAATGCCAGAATTACCTGATGAATATCAGATGAACATGGGTTCGTATTGGTTTAACTTTGTATATGCATTTAAAAAAGAACAGTTCAATATCACTTGTTGCACGTCCCACACTACAAATCCAAGTGTGTTATTTCTTTATACTTTCTATGATTGTCACTTTTTAATACACTTACAAGTGTATTGTTATTCTCACACATTCCACTTGGATTTACAGTGCATCGAGCAACTTGACTCGAGAAATTTATGTTTATAAAAATGCTTTTCAATAATGCAGATTTATTGACGTATTGTGAAAACGAGTACGAGACAAAATTAAGAATACGCGAGGAGCAAGTGGAGGGTCGACAGATGAGATTGGAGGAGAAAAAAATGCTTTTGGAAAGAATGACAAACCCACCGCCAGTGTTACCAAATAAACTTGAGAAAAAAGCAAAACAATCAAAAAAAACGTCGGTTCAGTATGGTCGTGTAAAGAAACCGGAACCTGAACCAGAACCGGAACCGCTTCCATACTTACCAACGCCGGATGAAGTTATATTACTTAAGGAAGGTACGCATATACGGTATGGTTTATACAACAAACAAAACTGTAAATAATTGAAAATTTATTGCCTTTGAGTATATCTGAGCTATACAAATTTGACAAATTCTGCATTGTTCTTATCGTATCTTGTTTTAGAGGAAATGCGGAAGGAAGTGAGAAGATTATTATTTACCCGTTGCGAGAAAACCGAAGTGAATTTACGAAAGTACTCGATATTGGGCGGAGTATTTTACATTGACTTGGTTTACCAACCCCCTCAACCAAAGGATATGAGGAGGGAAATTTTTCTGACCACCCGTAAGCATTTATTTCTAAACTATTTTATTTATTTCTATTTTCACATGAAAATAACTAGCATGCTTACCCGAAAGACACACTTTTACTTTTCAAATTTACCTAACTATATATTTTTAAAAAATGGTTCAACAATGATACTGCAATGTATCCGAGCAGATAGAAAGTTTATTGTTGCATATCTACTTCAGTACGCGCCTTATACATACGTATAACGAATAACAACAATAGGCATTAGTTGTTGAAATACTTATTTCTAATCTATTTGGAGCCTCCATTTTTCGTCACTTTTGATTATCATCACTATTATAGATGAAAATTCATATTTTACTTGAACGGCCTTCGATCCTACACATGAGATAGTCTCCACACAATATTCTACACAAGCTTTCTTACGCAATCAATATCATACACAAAAATATTAAATACGGAGAAATGCCGCACAAATATGTGCATATCATTATTCTACACCTGTGCTATGTTCATATAGTACGTCCACGAGTTCGATGTGCTTTTTTTTTGACAGATTGAAAATAATAGTCTCCAGCAAAGTACATGTGTTACTGCATAAAATGTCTGTTACAAAGTATGCATATACGTGGTTTTGCATAATAACATACATATTATGCATCAAGGGCGTAAAGGAGGTTTTTTTGACGAGTGTGAAGTTTGCCACACGTGTGACGCAAGGAGAGCGTTCACAGGAGTGAAATTATATCCCTTCGCCCTTGATGCACACGACATTTTTCGTCCGGCTCCATTCGGAAACGTGTTGACTATGTTAGATGGTCAACGGCAATCTTTCTACAGACTCGATCAATATCCCTCTAGTGCTGTTACCACCGATAAAAAAGTTTATTTTACGATTTCTAGAGTAAAACGAACGCTATAGCGGGCCAAAAAATTTGTATTGTATCTAAGATGCAAACTTATATCTAGAATGCAATATTATATTTTCTCTCCCTTTCTTATAATAGTAAAATATAAAAATTATTTTAGGTTGTAGAATAAGATTTTAAATTTTAATAAATGTTGAAGCATAAAAACTCATTGCTACAGATATGAATTCGCAACATAGATATCATCCTTTTCACCAATATCGTTAAAGGTGGCATGACCGTCGTTCTAGTGTTAATAAATGATAATGTAGATGACAACAATAATTATATAGTAATAGGTATGCATATAGATATATGCATGTTTGTACAAATTCTTATTTTACATATTTTATATTGTTCATCCACGCATTGCCACATTTCCAATTGAAATACTCCGAGTATTTTCTTCCTTTCTAAGCACGCACGCATCACTCATGAGATTGTCCCCTCGACTTTCGAAGCACATTTCCTACGCTGTGGAGCATTGCTTCAGTTTGAAATTTGTGTTACACAGGGCCTTTTTTAATCTTTGCCAAAATATCTTTTTAGCACAATTGTCATTACCGTTCTTGGGCCAGACTATATAAGTCTTAGTAATCATCAAATACTGAAGTATTTTTGGCCGCATGTTTTTCGGTATCTCCTCCAGTAAAACAAGGATTAAACAATCCCTGCACATTTCCAAAAGTCTATGCTGGGCCAAGTACATTTCGAATTGACACCACTGTGACTTCAGGAACGAGTCGCTTATTACCAGTAGAAACATTCTACTAAGGTCCATTCCACTTATTATGTTTTCAAGTATACTCACTCCCACCTATGACAATAATACGTGTGATAAAATAACAATAACAAAAACAACAATAATAAATGTCAATAATTCAATTACATCTGTATATTTATTATTTGTTATTATTAGACTTTTCGTGAAAAAACTTATGTCTATAATTAAGCCATTAATTTTTAGCACCTGAAAATCACGTTCATGAAGACAAATTTTTATGCTTGTACTATCTTCGATATTCGGTAACAATTCTTGAATTACCCAGTTTCTGTTCTCATCGCTGTAACTGACGAAAACGTCATAGACATATATTCTATCCTCGGTGCGGTTAGAATTTATATAACCAAAAACCGTAGCATTTTTTATTGTGACCGCATAGTACCTGATGTACCACCTGTTAAAAATGATTAGTCAGGATAATTGTTTGAGTGTTATAAAATAATGTTCATCATGTTACTCATGATCGTATTTCATCATTTTATTTACCATTTCCAGTATATGAGACCGCTCACTAATAATATAGCAATGACTAGGAAGAGAGTGGTATATACTGCATAACCCAGTGCTGGGAAGAATTTATTCATATCCTGGACTGTACAGAATTCACTAGTATTCGTGAATACTATTATCTCAGAGCTACTTGTATCGAAGCAAAGATAAGTAGTTGGCTGATGATAGTCTACCACAATTAAAGAGGTCTGCAAGTAAAATATTGTGTGTTTAATCAGTGTCAGATACTTGGAGAAAACTCTTATATAAAGTTATAGAAACAATTTGACTTTTCACTCACCGTGTTGTTATTGATTGCAGAATATGATTCCCATCTTGTCTGTAACAGTACAATATTGATTGTTATAGGCATACAATCTAACTGGGGATTCTTACTATATTTCTTAGCAGTCAAAGGTAATAGTTTACTGTATAATGTTTGAAGGTATGGTATAATACCTCAAATGACGCGTCATTTTCAAGTCTCACATATTCCATTAACTTCTTAAGATTACAGTTGCATATAAGTTGATTGTTTCCCAGACTTAAATAATGAAGTGTCTTCATATCGAGCAGCATGGCGTCGGTAATAACGTTAAGTGAATTTGAATGTAAAAAAACAATTTTCAGGTTTATATTATTTGTAAAAATTATCTCGTCCCAAGATGTCAGAAAATTCCAGCTTACGTCCAAGTATTGCAGTTTTGTAAATGCGTGAAATACATTTTCTAAGTTGACAATATTGTTGCATCGAATATTCAGTGTTTTCAATGATGTCAAACTTGTCACCATCGATATATTTCGGAGACCAACTCCTGCCATGTGCAATTCTTGCAACTGTTTCAAGTTTAAAAATTGTCTGTGAGTGATGTAAGGACCCAGTGCAGTATTATACGAAATATCTAACACCATCAGTTGAGTCAAGTTGTCAAAGATATTTTCGGTCAGGTACATCAATGAACTTCGGCACAGAGACAATTTTAATAAAGTTGACGGTAAATTACTCAAGAAAATAGAAGATTCCCACTTAATTTTAGATTCCGTGAGGTTCAAATATTTTAAGGAATTAAGTCCTGCAAAGGACTCGCTCTCAAGAGTCATAGCGTCTCGATAGGGATTATCAAATTCACAGTGTCTGTTGTAACTTATATCGAGTACAGTCAAATGATTAAGGACGTAAAAGATATTCGATGGCAAAATCAAAATATTGTTGAAGGACATATGAAGCTTTTTCAAATTTCCTAGATTATAAAAAAATTCTTTTTGAATGTGCGTGATATTGCACTTTCGTAAATCTAATTCGTAAAGCATTGGCATGTCGGGAAACACTGACGATATTACTTCTGAAAAAAAAAACATTTCAATTATTATCTGACTTTTAAAATATTATTCAATCTATTGATACCTGTTTCTTCTGTTGTTTTAGCAGATTCTGGGGTAATTTCACGTTTCGTGCCCAGCAGAGCTGATTTCATTTCAACATTTGTGTTCTGATTTTCATTGTTGTCATTAAAATTATTTCCAAATAGAGATAAAGCTTCTAAGGAATACTGTACAGGCTTCAGTACGTCGTAAGGAACTTCTTTAAGATTCAAATTAGCGAGACTCAATATTGTCAAATTTGATGTTTCCTCAGAACTTTGCAGACTCTCCATTAGTGTTATTAAATCTTTTAACGATATGGCTGCTGATGACAAATCCAGATTTCGTAATGATTTTTCAAAGAATTTGAAAGCTCCTGCAAACAATAAATCACGTAAAAAAAAGAACTTCTATAGTGTACTTTTAGTGATAATCAAATACCTGCTTTAACGGTCGAAATATTAGTAAATTTCATGTTTAAAGTTTTCACAGAAGAACTTTCTAACCATTTAAACGTTTCTGTAGTTAATTCATCGAAATATGTTCCTTGAAAACTGAGAGTTCTCAAATTTGGTAATGCAGATACATTATTTGTATCATTATGATACCGCCAAAGTAAATTGTTAAATTGACTACTGTTTTCTTCGACATACAATCCCGTTAAATTTTCCAATTTCCGAAATAAATAATGCCATGTATATAATCTGCTTTTATCCAAACGCACATTATTTTTCTTTATTATAAGATTTTTTAATCCTGAAATTACAAAAACATTCATCGATATTTCACTTTTTCTACATGCTGCATAGATATTCACTTTTGGATATAATCAAAAAATATATTTCTCTTTAAAAAAAGCAAGATTTTTTAAATTGTTGTGTACTTAGAATTTTTATGCAATAATACCGAAATTTAGTTACCGTCAATGTTTTCAAATGTGTCCTCATTTAGATATTGTATGATGTTGTCTTTTAGTACCAAGTTGTGAATGCTGACTTTGTGCTTCACATCATAAAAATCAATGAAAATTCGATTTTTATTAATGATTGAAGGTAAATCGAAAAGCACATTATGCCGAATAACGGTTAAAGTATTGCCATTAAAGCTCCTGCAGGAATATACGATTATGCTTTGCAGTGTAAGATTTTTCGCACAATGAGCAATGCAATCAGTATCGTAATCGAAATCAGTAGATTCTGGAAATAAAAATGATACAATATAATTTTTGTTATGATCATACATATATAGCAGAAAGTTGGGTCCTACCAGTAAGCTAAAAAAAATTCCATGAAAATCGAATTGGCATCAAAATTTCTGTTATTTATAACTTAAAAAAGGCGAACCTTACGAATGATTAAATTTTTTCATTTAGGAACATTATTAGGCCATTCAAATGATTATTCAAAAGTCTTGCATTTGTTTTATCGGCAGGAAACGGAAGTTGTCATAAGTTCCGATTTTTGCCTATCCTAAGATAAGTAAGAATCGAGCGGACTCTTGTGGTTTTTTGACGCTCTGGATTCAGCGATAGCATATAAAAAAATTGATAAACTATGAAAAAACTATGTAACCAGGAGATAAAATTCAAAAGCGAGCTCATGGGTCAGCAGCAAGCCCTACGTTACCGGAGAGTCGTCTACGAAATTTTAGTATTGGGTATATGTTCTTTTACCATATGAAATGGATACAAAATATTTCCAGTTACGCCGAGGTGTCAAGTTCATAACTGTTAGCTATAACATCGAAAAGTTTTTAACTTTCCAGCGAATTTCGAAATCGAATTTAATTTTATAGAAAGACTACTTTTCATAGATTTCGGAAAATATAAGATCGTAAACTACTACTCTTGGTTTAGCCTGAAATCGGGGTTTAATATTACTCCCTGTTTTTAAATAATCGACTGATATGGTCGCTCACATTATACAAAGGATATCAGGCTTCATTATTCACCGATAACACTTTCACTCATATCAAAATCATTATATCTATAGCTTTGTCTTAAGAAAGTTTTTCTCGATATATAGTAATCCAGAAAACAATGATTATATACAATCACATAAAGTTATGCATAATCACATAAACTTGTATAATATATAATCAGACCTAAAATTTTACAAGAATCCACTAAATAATATTTTGAAAAAGTAGTTTCATTCATAAATGAGTTGTTTATTATAACTATTTTACAGAGCATCAATTGTGCAGAGTTTACATTTTCATTTTTGTAGAATTTTAAATCTGTTCGCATAGAGACAAATTTTTGATCTGATTATATACAATTTTATATGATTACATATAATTATTTTGTCCAGAGTGATTTGCAAGTTGCAAATTGTATTAAATTTACGATTGACTAGTTCATTAATGATTATGTAAAGATAAAATATTTCACCCCACCTGTTAAACACTAAAATTTTGGAATGTTTAAAGTGAAAATTTATTTTATTATTACAATAAAATAAAATACCTTTAATTATGATTTGGCCATTATCATTAAATGCTATTACGAGTTCTGTAGCATTGGTTGCCCGTTGACATTTCTTCATACTGCATACTGCTGCATAATATAACGGAAGGATGACAATTAGAATAGTATATTTTAGTAGTGTATGTAAAGAAATTTTAGTGATTAACATTGCTTGATATGTATTGGTATTTAGCGAAATCACTTAATCCCGATCAAGTTTGTGTGCAACTTATTTCGTTAATATGAATACATTTTATTGATACAAATCGGAAGTGTATATTCGGTATTGCAACACAGTTGTTATTTATTTGTTTACTTGTAACTAAAACAATTGTATATTTACACAATTTTTTATATATCGATTACACTTGCATATTTTTTTATAATTTATTATTATCAATCTTTTACTTGTTTACTTGATCTGTTACACACTTCAACAAATGGGAATCGCTTAAGACTGTTTAAACCTCAATATTATGTTACATACATAATTGCTAAAAACTGATAAGTCTCTTATTCGCTGTGTCATATGTATATAAACGGAAATCAATATGAATGTAACGTATTATCAGATAAACTGATAGTCCGATCTTGATATTTTCGTATAGGTTCAGCTGGTACTGGTTCGTTAATATTTCGACTTATCAAAAGTTTTTGTGTAAGTGTGGGTGTAGTAGCTTAATTCTCATAAATAAATAATCTTAATCCGACGTATGAGTGAGTGTGTAAAATTTGATTTTGTTAATGCTTTTATGAATTATTCAAAACAATTTATATTTATTTAATAGATAACTATGAGAAAAAAACATGAAATGTAAATATATCGTTTATTGATATTTGTATTTTGTGCAGTTTTATTCATATGAATATTTAAAAATCACACGAATATATTACACCCAACTGTATGCACATCAGGTTAAAGATATTGTAAGACTGCTGGATATGGAAGTTCGAGAGATAATTAGGAAAAAGAGATGGTTTATTAGATTAGTGTCTGCATCCAGTATATTTATTTGTTATATTTATGTAATTTTCATATGGTTGCTGCATAGCAATTGAATGCAATATGATATATTGTAGCGTAGGAGAAAAGGGTTATGAATAATTCGATAAAAAATTCTATAATTTAAATAAAGTGTCATTTACGATCTTGGGTTCTTTTGATTTTTTAGTGCAAATTCCAAAGGAGCTGAAATATGTACCGTTCTCTAAGCCGTACAAGGCACCACCTCCTGCTAAAGATTCCGAAAGGTCACCGGAAGTCATCGAGGAGGAAATGAAAGCTCTGGAAGCTGCAATGGAAGCCCTCGCTTTAGTGACTCTCAAGTGAGTTGTTCAATAACCATTACAAGTAGGTACATATTATGTATAGGTGTCAGAGATTTTAGAGTAATCATAATAATTAGATACATTGAGTTACAAAAGAAATTGCATTGGTTGCAGGTTACCTGAGTCTGTTCTTTGGTTTGAGCCACCATTGGTGGCTCACTGGATATCGGAAAAGAAAATTTGGTCTACGCAGGACGTTCATGATATCAAATACAATGAGGAGAAGCAAATCATAAATTTCAGAACCGGAAGGCTTGGTGTTCACGGCCTTGCAGGATTCCGATTTATCAATTTGCCTTTTCAAAGTTGGGAACTTAAGCCTGAAATGGGAAAAGGAAATGGTGGTGGTGTTATCTTGAGTATAACAGCCGCCATTGTTCAAGCTGAATTTATAGTCAGAGTACGTGAAATCACTTTGTTTGTATATTCTTGAAATTTTTGCGTTTATGAAATTTTTGAAAAAAAAAATGGAAGATAGCTTTATGAAATATTTATTCGTTAAATTATGCCTAATTACAGATGTAATTGTTACTTTTTAAGGAAGATCTGGTCTGTTTGCATTCTTTGATTGGTGGCACGACAACTGCTTTACAGAATATAGTGGGTGAATATATGAAGTTGCATTTTCTTATACGGGTTTGTATAATCGAATTGTATTAGACTATATTAATATATTAAATTGAATTGCAATACATATTGTTAATAATATGAGTACAGTCAGTACGATTTTGTGTTTCCAGTTCAGTAATTCTTTGATTTATTTATCTGCTATATGTATGATATTTAATTTTTTCAAAGTTTAATTGATATAATGATCTACTTGATATACGTTTACCGTTACGTTTTTTGAATCTTAGAAAATGCGTGAAGGTGGATGTGATCTCTTTCCTGAACGGGACGCATACAGTTATGTGAAAGGACTTCCGGTAAAGCATCCTGTAGCCGAAAAACATTTGCAAACTTGCATGGGCCTCTTGTGCACGGCTTTTAATTTTTCTTGGTCTCGTTGGAATGCAACGTGCAGTCCGAGACAGATTGTTATGCAGTTCAAAGAATTGCATGGATGCATTGCAAAACAGGTATAACATAAAAAAATAAAAAAGTTTTGATAGTCATAATATGTCAAGGAAATGATACAGAGTTAGAAAAATATAGTCAAATAACATTACTCAAAGTTAATTTTTGTAGCAAGCAGCTTTTTCCTTGTGGACATTCAATTTAACGCCACCTACATTATTCTATTACAAGTAATAATTATTAATTTAAATATTATTTTAAGCGATCGAATATGATGTTGTTGGTGACACCACTTCAGGCAATGGTGGTCAACTGCACGGAAGTCAGTCAAGAATTTTCTGATCAGCCAATGGAAGGTGATAAAGCAAAGGTATAAGAAAGAAGGACTGTACTTTTGTTCTTATGAAACTTTAACGAATCTATTTCGATTGTAGTTTTACGCGGATATTTATCACATGGCGTTGCATAATGTTGGAATCAAGAGTCGCATTTTGATACAGAGTGTTTCTTTTAAACTCGCTACGACGGTGTCAAAATTGTTACAGTGTACTAATGTAATTAGTATGTCTTCGTGACACTTAATTGTTGTGTTTAGTTACCTTTTCGTTCATGTGCAATATTTCGATGAAATTTGCTGTATTAATGACAGCGATGCAAAATAAGAAAATAATAGTATTAATTATAAATATGGTTAACGCATAACTTATTAGTTGATAAATTACAATTAATATAGCAATTATGATGGGTGGTAGTATCATACATGACTGTTCTGTTATGAACCATGATTTTTCTACATTAAAATAATATTATTTTCATTTCGACTCTAAATTTTTTAAGAAGTTGTCAATGGTTATGCACTATTATAGTATTGTAATGTAGAATTTTTTAAATGAGAAATATATGTTTTTGTTGCAAGATAATATGTATTATTCTTTATGTTTATATGCTACAAAATGAATCCAATTATGTTTCAATTTCTTATACATATGCGAATTATATAAGATAAAGTTGCACAATTCTGAAATAAAGAAAGTTATAAGTGATTCAAAAATGTAGTAAGCATGCTCCGTAAAACCTTGCCCTACGTTTACAAGATTTTACAGTACAAATTTCTTATGATTTGATTCTTCTTAAAAATATGTACTTATACATTTGGCATTGCTTTTATATTATTTTACATAATTGCTTCAAATAACGCGGTTTGTCTGGGGGTGGATTCTAAAATTCACTGCGGGTATAATTCTGTCTCACTCGAATGCGTGCAAATAAATAGAGACACGACGATACTCGTAATGAGTTTTAGAAATACACCCTAGATTGTGTGCTGTGGGTGCTGTGTGAAGTGTCGTGCGTGTCGTGTCAAATATAAAACATGGCAGACGAAATATATGAATCACCTAACCTAACCCCAAACCTTTGACGTATAGAAAAACATAATGGCGCTCATATTGTGATAAGTGTGAATTATGAGTGTTTCACGCTAGTTTTGTTTTGTTACGCTTAAAAACGCCTTTCTTTTAAATATTAAATCTAGAGGTTCGTATCAGACACCTATCTGATCATATGTGAAATAATCGACATTGAATTAGATAAAATTTCGAAATGTTAAGTATGTCTTTTATATTTATAAATAAAGTAGATTGCAGTAATGTCGAAATTCATGTCACTTTTACGTCAAACTATCATTTAAATGCTATATTTTGATTTATCAGTGTCAAGATGTGGGTTAATTTATTTGATCACTTGAAAATATTTTAGTCTACAAATACTTTTTTTAAGAATCTCAAGTTTATTCAAATGACAGCTTTTTTTAATACCAAGTTTCACTTACTTAACCTCTCACTTTATAAATTTAGAAGTATTTTCTGCATTCATATACTGTATGAAGAATTACGATCAGTACTTTGTACTATATCAAGGGTTTTTAATTTAAATGATATTTATTGCATGTGTAGTATATTATATAATAAATTATTTAGTTCGTTAACTGTTGCTGTCAAGAATCTGTACTTTCCCAAAGAATTATTTTTAATTCCAGTATAATTATACAATTCATAGAGAAGCCAATACACATTTCTTTATTTCATAATTTCAGCATATACCTTTATTTAAATTATACATTAGTGGTATTTACAATGTATTATGATTTATTAATTATTACATTTGACATGGAATTTTGCTAATTGGTCAGGTATTATCCCATATCATTTTAATTGATATGTCAGCATATGAATGAATCTAAAACATTTTACTAGTTTAAATAATACTATATTCCTGAATATTGCAATATTTGGTATATTGCCAAGAGAAATGATTTAAAATAAAACTTGCAGAGTAAGATTGTACTGTTTTGTTATATGATACTTCTTTGTATTTAAACATTAATTATAAATAAGTGTTTAATTTTATAAATTAAAATTGATCATTGTTTCTATTTTTACAGTTAATATGTGCAAACATAGCGAATTCTACTGATTGTGTGATGGCTGAGGAAAGAGCCGCTGAAGGCTCACAAGCATCGTTAAATCTTTTAGAAGAGAATTTGTTTGAACTGCAATGCTTGATTAGAGCTAGTGAGATTTATCATAGTGCCCATTGTGAAATTGGAACAAAACAATTATTAGCTTTCGCTACTAGAAACACAGATATAGGATTTTATTATTTGAAGGAAGCTTCTTCTCTACCAATAATCAAAAGAATACCATGGTTTCAAGCACCACAGAAAGCAATAGCAGCTTTATGCTTCGATCCGTCAGGTTCATGGTTACTTGTTGCCAGTGTCGATGGTTTATTGTGTATAGTACCAGCTTTAGCACTAGTGGATAGTAGTTCTACTGTCAATCAGAAATGGGCAACGAATGACATAACGTCTTTCACATCTTTAAATTCCCAGTCTTCCTATTCAAGGTGAGTTAACCAGAAAATGTATATATCAGAATATTCATTTTTTAAATTTAATTTACATTTTTTATTGTGCTAGTCCTAATTAATAAGAAAATATGTTACAGGCCAAGTGCGTTGGTGTGGTGGCAAGGTGTGATACAATCTAATGACATAGCTATCATAGGAACTGAACACGGGGAAATAGTACTTGTTGATCTCGAAAGTAGAAAACAAGTAGGTTTAACACATGTTAAAGGAAACGTTTCTAGTCTGCATATTTGCCAGGATAACAGTCTCGACGTTGTATCGCTTTTAATAACAAATCAATCAAGACAACAATGGCGACTGATTTTGGAACAACGCACAAACGGTTACGTTTATCCACTTAACAGTGACAAATCGTTTCATCCTTCATATCCTTTACCAAACACAAATAGTAATCCCAACAATGAGATAAAAACTTTGCCTGCTACAAGATCTCGGCTGCAAGGTCTGAAACAGCTTTCCGTTGAGAAACTTGCTATGCTTAAGCAGAAATTGGCTGAAACTAGAAGTCGTAGTTTAGCAGGACCAATTTTACGACGAGGTATGTATTTTATATATACAGTTTTTTTACTTATGTAAATTATTAGTCAAATAATTAAAAATGTATCTACTGTGTCAATAAGTGAGGTATTAATGGTGCACACTTATGACTGATCTAAATAGGAACATTTTATTTTCAGATAGTAGTAGTAGCAGCGGGACTGAGGAAATAATACAAGTTGCTTCTAGTAAAACATGTTCTGAGGCATCAGCAGATTCATTAAGTCCTGAGCCAGTTTCTCAGGATATGTTCCTTGCGCCACAATATACTAGACAAGGCCAGCATCTGTATACAGGTTATCATTCGCCCACAAATCATTTAACAGTGAGTAATCAATTGAATTATGGAATCTCCTATATAATTACTGAATTACCAACTCGTTTCATTCAGATTCACGGAACTGACGTCTCGGTAGTACCTTTGTACATACACAAAATGCCGCCACTTTCTGAGGATATATTATTAACACAACGATTGTTTTATATAACGGATGTTCAACGTCAATCATTGTATATTGTTTCCTGTCCACTATCCGAAAGTCGGATGGAGGGAGAAGCCAATTTTAATCAGGATTCTGTGATCGGACATTTTTCCTTTGAAAGTACTAAGGAGTTTATAAATAGGGTGTACAGATTGACAGATTTTAAAGCGAAAAAACCAAAAAAAGTCCCAACGGAAACCGAAAATCGAGATGCGTTGCCGAAAAAGGTCGAGGACCTTAACGTAGATGTGCCTCTAGTGGATACTTGTATAGTTGTTACTAATTTTGCTGTATATCGAGTTGTTCTCAGGTCAGTATATTTTTTAACCAATTACTAATTTCATAATTGAAGTTCTATATAATCTATTTAATACCTATAATATTATAGGAAATCTTTACTAACGGTGTTTATGGATTTGGTACTTCAAAGAAAAGAGGTTGACAAGGCAAGTCGATTAGCTCTGGTATTTGGAATGAATGTACAACAATTATTAGAATATGCTGGAGATATACTCCTGTCGAATAAGGAATTTTCTCAAGCAGTAGTCTTGTATAAATTATCTAAGGTGAGTAAGAATAATGTCAATTTGCAGCTTTCAATAAAATACATATAATATATGACAAACATTCTTTTCAGTGTCGATTATTAAAAAGTGTATTGAAGTTCGCAGCAGCTGGTCACACTTCAGAACTTTTAAGTTGCGTCACGCATTGCTTGACACCTCCATCAGTTAGTGAATTACCAACGGCCACGAGAATACACTTGAGTAACTTGAGTGTTTTGGCATTCACAGAACTCACTTTGAGAAATTCATCACAACAGTTGAAGCATATACATAAAGATTTTTTGTGAGTATTAGTTCCCACGTTGACTTTCAATCTATGCATATTTTGTAAAGCATTTAGCAAACACCTGTTTTCAGAAATTTTTTGTCCACAAACATTTTTTATGACGAACTATTAGCTATCAATATCGCGGGGCAAACTGGTCTTTGGAAGATTTTACATCATCTGGCAACTCAAAGAGGCCTTTACGCCGAAGTGCTGGATATTCTCTTGAAAGCTGTACAAGCTTTCAACTCGAATAATTCAAATCTTTTACCTTGTCAAAGTAAATGTAAGAATTCTAAACGTTATTAATTAATTGACCCGTGCACGCCATCCTAAGCATTTTGCTCAATTGTTTTCAGATGGCTTACTAATATGCCTCAGTGAACCAAGTTTAATTCAGGCATTGCTAGCAAACCATGGTCTAGCTAGAAGTCATATGACTTTCGTTTCCACCAATCTTACCTCTTTGCAGATTTTTGTTCTTCAGGTAAGTGTTATGTGTTATAAGAAACAGTTTGAGTTTTACCTACTTTTTTATCGTGATACGTTGCCGTTTTCACAAACCCGTCATCTCGCGGATAGCTCATTGGATATGTCATTAAGCCTAATTATATGCGGTATCTTGTTCCATTTAAGATACGTAGTTAGCTATATAATGCATTTTATTATTGCAGCGACTAATTTCATTATACGACCCAACGAACGTGATATTACGGCCTCTACTGATTCGTTGCAGAGCTCGACGTAGAACTACTTCCCGTAGTTCACAATCTAGTCAATGTGACTCATTAGATATGTCGGAAATGCTTGTAAGTATAGAAAATACTCCTCGTAACGAGTCTATTACTAATTATCAAATTGATTTATTCAAATCGTTTTAGGAGGAAACGGGCACACTATTGGAAGAGTTTATACAAACATTCTTAATGATATTACTTACTCTTATACATAAAAGGACACTTCACTTATGTTATAACCCGATACTCATGCGGCAAATTCAGCTACCGGGAATTGAAAAGGTAATGGATTCATTATTATATTACGCAGTTTAATGTAAATTGTCTGCAACAATCCTTTATAGTCTTTACAGTATTATACAAATTATTTTTATTATTCTTCCTTACTCCTCAGGATCGCGACAATATCAGTACCAATGTAGACTTTAGAAGGAGACTCTTGAGCGCTGGATTTTCTCACGTTGCGCTAATTAGAAATGGCAATGTATATACATGGGGAAATGCCGTACAAGGTTGTTTAGGTAAGTCAGAGAATTCGTTTGTTATCATTTGATTTTAATACTTATTCTAGAAATTACATCTTATATATACAGGGTGTTCCGAAACTACCTGACCCGGTGAGTATTGCAGTGTTCGGGAGATTTCATTGATCACGAAAATGACCTTCTTTTTGTCAGGAAGGTCATAGTTTTTAAATGGGAGCAGGTCAAAGTTGACTAATCAGAGGGAGGCGTCAAGCGAAACGTACGCACCTGCGAACTCTGAGTTTTCTTCCCTCGCTTTTGTTTTTCGGTGGCTTCGGGCAGGATGACGTCAGTCGAAGACATGCCTATTGGAAACAAGAAACAAGAAACAAGCCACCGAGAAACAAAAGCGAGGGAAGAAAACTCAGAGTTCGCAGGTGCCTACGTTTCTCTTGACGCCTCCCTCTGATTGGTCAACTTTGACCTAGTCCCATTTAAAAACTATGACCTTCCGTACCAAAAGGAGGTCATTTTCGTGATCAGTGAAGTCTCCCGAACACCGCCATACCCACCGTGTCAGGTAGTTTCGGAACACCCTGTATATATATTGTATGTTACAAGGATTCTAATTTAGAAATAAATTGTATTTTGTAAAATTCTACCTTCAGGTACCGGTCCCTCTGTCATAAAGTATGGACCTCCACAAGCTGTATCTCTTTTCAAATGCATGGAAGTTGAAGTTTTCAGTGTATCATGTGGTAAATGCCATTCTCTGGCAGTAACTAATAATGGTGTTTACGTATGGGGTGCCAATAAATTTGGCCAACTTGGACTTGGCAAAATAGTACAATGTCCTAGTCCTGAACTTGTTTCATCTTTGGCGCAAGAGGTGATCGTGGATGCTGTAGCCGGACAATATCACTCTGTAGCATTAACCATGGATGGTCGATTGTTTACTTGGGGCTGGGGAGTGCATGGTCAATTGGGTCATGGGAACACAGAGGAGAAAAACGTACCAACTTTAGTCACTAGTCTTCTTGGAATTGTTATACGGCATATAAGTGCTGGTCATGCACATACAATGACGCTGTCGGCAGATGGACATATTTACATCTTTGGAAGCAATGTTTTTGGTCAACTAGGAAATGGTACTAACAACAAAAGTTCATTGCCGGTCAAGGTATCACTGATACCTGAGAAAATTATGTTAATATCAACTGGATACTTTCACAATGTAAGTTTTTTTCTCTGAATTTTTTTTCCTTTACTAATCCGTAATCTGAGAAATATGCAGTTTCATTGTTTTTTTTTTTGTGATTTATGTCCTTATATTTTTTAGCTTGCTGTAAGTCACACAAATAAACTATATACGTGGGGTGCGAGTCCTCAAGTATTACGGCTACAAGCACAAGCACAAAAGAAGTCTAGAATACTTCAACAAGCGGCTTTAGAAAAGAAGTTTGAAAATTTAGAATCCGAAAGGTATGATGGTCGAGATAACGTTGATTCTAAAGCGGAATTGGATCAGAACGATGCACAAAATTCTGATACTGTACAAACAAAAGATGGCACTACCAGCACAATTTTAATGCAAGGAAACTTGGCTAACGGCACAAGATTTCCTAAAAGTCCGAGCTTTCGAAGTATGAATATAGGTTTATTAGAGGAAGCGCAAACTCATATGAAACCATCTCTTGTCGATACAAGTTTAGTTAATGGACAAATTGTACAGGTGCGCTATACTGATTCATAGACGTATAATTATAAGCGTTATGTTTATGATAGTAAAACTTATAAAATAACAAATCATTAGATATCAACGGGCTGTCATCATTCGGCTCTGCTAACAAAAGATGGTTCCCTCTACACTTGGGGTCTCAACTTAGATGGTCAAATAGGTAATGGAACTCGACGTGTCGTAGCTATACCAACACCTCTCGGATACAACCCAGCATCAATTCTGGCACAAGTACCTCCAAGGACTAACGTATTCAGAGGAGAAGAAAGGAGTGTAACTTCTGATACTGATAATACAAATTTTGAAAACGCACAAAAGAACACTGATAATATAAGCAATTTTGAGGCTACGAATTATAGCGAAAGAACAGACAGGAGTATGATTAATCATACGATAAAAACAATTCGCGTGTGTTGTGGTTCTGACTACACAGTTGCCGTACAGCCTGGTTAGCCATAAACGTTTTTTAACTACTTTGTATCTTTTCACGTTTAGTGATTCTGTGAAATTAAAATTTCATTAATTTCTATTGCTCTACTTAGGCGGAACAGTTCTTGCATGGGGCGGTAACAGTATGGCGCAATTGGGACGGCCGCCTGCCAAAGATTCACGAGCTTCGGATGAAAAACTTGTTTTACTGAAGTCCTCCAGGCGTATCGTGCGACTTCCTCATGCGGCACATACCGCTATGGATACACCTAGTCAAGTACCGAATATACCGACACCTATAATTACTTATCAGAGTTACGACATTACTCCTCTGGCGGGACTGGTTCGTCCCTTGAGCGTGGTTGAAAAAGTTCCGAGTGAATTAACCTTGCATTACGTATTGGAGCAGTTCAATGGATTATATGACAGTGAAAAAATCATGAACAAAGTATGCAGTCTCACTTTCTTTTTTAATAGCAAGTGTAGATTACCTAGTTATTTTCCATAATCATTTATATTATAGTCTACTTATTTTACTCATTATACAAGGATAATGCTGTTCCTTTTAGTGTTTGGAGATGGGCAATTACCAGGCGTGCTCGAAATTGGCTCTATTGGATCGTAATTTTTCTGAGGCGCTTTCTTATCAGTTAAAAGCTTTGAACTCCTCCTACTTGAAGCCACGTGAAAATACATCTGCATCTAAGAGCGAGCTGCAAGAGGAGCAGACAGATCCTAATAAGGATTTTGCAAATGACGAATCATCTCTAGTGAAATCCATGTCACAAATTAAACTCGTGAAAGAAAATACAGAACTATTTGATCGTCATGTGGAGAAGAACATCGTAGAAACGCTGGAAGAGTGTGAAGCTATGAATACTACAAAAATGTCAACTAGTCGATCATTGGATAGCTTCCGAATATTGGAGCAAGAATTGCACACATTTAATTGTCAAGGTGGTTCGGAAGAGTTGTGCGATGATGCGAAAAGTGAAGATATTTCATTAGACATTACAGAAGATGCTCTTGATGATGATACTGAGGCTAATAATAGTGCTGTTTCCATCAGTAATGTTATTTCTGGTAATGATGACGGCGCCACTTCTTCCAATCACGATAAAGATTGTAAAAATTCTTCCGAGATTGTGAATACTTCGGGCGTAATGAAAAAAATGGAGGATCTATGCTCAGAAACTGCCATTCGGAGTGTCTACAAAGATCACATGGGTAATCAAGAGAATTACAAAGTGCACGAGGCTAGCAGCATCGTGAAATTTTATATGAACGAAATAGAAGAAGAATCGCATAGCATGATGTGCGAAGTATTACGCAGTGCTCTTGATTTTTGGATTAAATATAATTTGCCCATGCAGCATTTAGAGAATGTACTTCTCGAGCATATGAACAAACTATTCTATCCCTTGGGTCTGCTGCTTTTTTGGTGAGTTTACATATTTCATTAGATCAGCATGCTCGTTTCACGACTGACAAGGAATTTTGAAAAAATTTGCTCATATCACATACAATGACATACTACGTAGTACTATTGCGCATGAACAAGCTAAAAAAAATTATTTTGATCAGAATTTTACTAGATTCAATATGTTTCGTTTCGCTTTTGAAACTATGTATTGAACATCTAATTCACAGACCAACCGCTTTATTTCAGATTCCACCAACTTATTTCTAATCAACTAATTTAATGAACCATTTTACCAATCGGACCTCATCTACTTTTTAGAAAAAGCCACCTTCACTGCCAAATCAAAATACAGTTACTGAATATCTCCACTTTCATTCAATTGATACATTCAGAAATCATTCTGACTACTTAAAAAAATTCTTGGTATCATCTGCTAATGACATATTGTCATTTCAATTAACCGTCATGAGTTCATCTAGGAACACAATATATTAATTAAACTTAAGATATTTCATAACACCATTTTCTTTATTAATCCAAAAAAAGTTAGAAGAAAAAATTGCACCTTAGCATCATTCACTTTAATTCATGGCTTTGCATTTTCGCAATTCATACGTAACATTTGACTATTCGTTCGACATACTAGAATCTGTTATCATGGTTTACATATACATATGTTTTTATTCTCCATAGTCAAAATAAACTGGATGAAAATATAGATACAAATAAAAAAGACGGAGAGGGTAAGAGTCTTGCTATGATGAATTCTTTGTCGACCAAATTCTGTCTGCAAGTTTGTTCAATGCTCTTACGTCATATTGGTCAAGGTAAGACAATCAAAAATACTTAATTTTCTATATCCTAACGTGCAAATTGCTATTTTTGACTCTATTAACAACAACAAAATAAGTACATAAGCTGATCTTGATGCATAGCAAAAAATTGTCATTTCCATAGCCAAACCCACTCCAGAATATATAGAACTTTTATCTGTATTAACTGCAAAACATTACGGCCCTCCACTTACTGGCTATCCAGGATCCAGTGAAAACCAAACACCGGAACAAATGATGGAAGGCGTTATGAGTACCTTAACATCAGATCCATACGGTCCAAAGCCATATATACACATTAAGGTAAATTTAGTAAATGAAAACCTCAAGATAATATAATCAAGACTATATAATTACACTCAACAATTAGTGAGGTTTACGGAATTGTCATACATTGAAAATCATAAACCAAATAGTATATTTTATAGCTTTATGAACAGTCTGATAATAAGATAATCAGGAATGAAAATTATTCAAGTTTGCATTAAATAAAATGCTTCTGTCTAATTTTATAGGACCCAGAAGAGGTATCTCGTTTTCTCTCACAGGAGGAAGATACAATGGTCTTTACCTGTGGCCATTATTTCCCAATTTCCAACTACCAATCTGAGGCTGTTCCTACAATGGAGGCAGAGCTGCTGATGTCTGAACAGGTTTCACTTCCGTGCACTGCAGAACTCCTTGGAAACGTAATGACTGAATCAAGTAAAGTAGAAACATTATGCCCACTATGTATCCCTCGAGCATTGCAAACAGTAGTTAAAGATATGGTGGAACAATGAGTAAGTAAGAATTTGTATATTGATAATACAATATGTGTCAGACCGGATGACACATTGCATTAATCGTATTATGTTCTATTTTTTATGCATATATATGCGTTTTTTTACATACAAATTATGGTTAATATGATATTTACTGCGGTACGCTTAATATATTGTAGTTATTTATGAAAAGTTTAATGGATTATTCTTATAGTGGGTGCATGAGTTCAATGTATTTTTTGACAGTTCGTAGACAATGTCAATCATACGTGGATTTCCAGAAAATAACGGAGGTATATGCTAAAATAGAAAAATAAAATAGATCTCAGTACAAAACCATGTATACGCAATGCTTTGTAATAAAAATTGTATGCAGAGCTACGTGTGATTTAGTAATGTTTTTATTTGTATTGTTTTGTGAACTAACGGAAAAAACACATTGAACTCTTAGACAGACTATATGTATGTGCCGCTTATGGAATTTAACTTCGTGTAATTATTTGTTAATTGATACGTGAGTTGTCAGCATGGTTGCCGGAAATCAAAACAGATAAATTTGTATATAAATCGATTGAATAGATTTTGCTGATGAAATTATATGACAATTGAATTATATAACGTAGTTCTTGTGATCAATTTTTCGTGACTACGAAAGATATAGAGTAAATTACCAAATGGAACTTTCGTTTTATTGTCTTCGATATTTGTCGCAATGACTCCTGTCGATTGGTTCGACACGTGTATGAAGAATTAGGATAAATATTAATGAAACGTATAATACTGACTCTCTATTGTAAGCGACCTAAACATTTGGTAATTTTTTAGAAAGTATATCCTGTATACATACAAGTACACCTATTGTTTAAACACGAAATAAGTTTAATATATAAATAAAAGCTGTTTATTAGGATGTTACATAAACGAGATGATCTTTCAAGTTCAAATATTAAATATTTAGTTGTTTAAATATAGAGATATTTTAAATCTAGTGAATTGGACAATTTTATAAAAGTATACTAGCTCTTGATACGCGCACTAATTGATTTTCGAAATGTTCGTATTTTATTCATTCTATTATACAAAAGGAAAAACAACGCAACAACCGTTATAATGTTAAGCAGATTGCAAGAAATCTTGTTAGATATCAAATATTTTTTTCACGTGGTTTCATTCTTCTTATTTTTTTTTCTTGTTTGGAAACGAGTATTTCTTATCAATTATTCATATTGTACTTTATATTTGCAATCCCACGTGACGTTAAACAGTGTAAAATACTTTTTATGTTACAGCAATAATTTTCAAATTTCTAACTATTCAAATATTTAAATGTCTCATATTATAATTGAAGAATGCTAGTCACTCGCACGGTAAATATTTTATTTACCAAGCTTCAATCAATGTTCTCCCTCGTAAAGAAGGTCAGTAGAATATTTTAAATAAATAGAGTCATTGAAATAGTGACACAGGATTAGGTAATGACCAACGGTATAGAATCCATCTTCATATTATCACAAACAGTCATAAGGAATGTGATTTTATTATTTTCAAGTAAGGTGTGTGAGTAGTAGACTAATTAATATTTGTAGATTAATGGTATTATAAAACTGGAAACTAAAATCATGATAAGTCTATTATATAAAATTTTATTTCTATAATTTGCATTCTGAAAGGATTCGATGACGCTTTAAAAATTGTAAAACATAGTATAATTATAACAATTACCTTATAAACAATTATTCCTAATTAGCTTATTATTCAATTCGATAGTATTTAGCTTTCGAAACATCTTCCTTTCGAAAGTCGTAGCATCATGAATTCGTTATTTTAAAAAAATGCACGTAACACAGCACGCATAGAAATTATCAAAATTCGCCATACACGAAAATCATACGATGCAACGACGCGTAGTACATGATTACTGCAATTATGATATTGCATGAGTGTGGCCTAATTAGATGAAAAATTAGTTTCGTCATATTATTTTTTTTTCCATCAGTAAACATAAAATAGATTTTTTAAATCAGTGTCTTTGTCTAAAGAATTCGCAAAGCGTCAAGTAATTAATGACTTACCTGTTAACGTCTTTCGTAACGAAACAAGCGTTAATGGTATATGAAGGTTATTTATCATATGACTATCTGTGTTGATTCTAAGGATCTAAAATAAAATGAATTAAAATGTTTTACTCAGTTAATTAGTTTATATCGCACACAGATGTCGTAGTGCAAGCGTGTACTTCAGAATATATATAGTTACTATGCTATACATTATACATAATTCAATAATAGATAAATAATTTCAGCACCGTACTAGTATCGCAAGATCTAAAAGAATTGAAAAATAATCATATGTTTTGGCAATATCATTTTTAAATATACAAAAGACGATGATTATATTTTATTGTTTTTATATGTACAGATTTTTTAATGATCATTTCATTTAACTCATTATGCTCGGCGCATATTTTTACGTGAATTTACCATAGCCTACTCGATTACAGTCAGCTCAGTCGGCGTTTGGAGTGTAAAGGGTTAAATAGCGATACTGTGTTTTTGATATTGAACATTTTTTGAAAATCCAGCGACTCGTCAACATCCTGTGTTTATGTATACAATATTTATTACGGTATTAACTTATTGTTAGATAAAAATAAAATTATACATTGGTGTAAGGATCCTGAACGCATAAATAATACGTTATATTAACTTACGTTGTTTGCTATACTATAAACAAGTAGTCTATACGGCATTCAACACCAACAGTATTTGAAACCGGATGTTCTGTACAAACTAAAAAGTACGCTCTTTATGTAAAAATAATTCGTTCTTGTATTCCTGCAGCCATAATACTTTTAATACCTTAATTCAAAATTTTTGTCTCTCTACATCATGGAACAGTGTCTATGTTATTTCAATTGTAACTGTACAATATACAACGACTAAATGCGAATAGGCATAGTCGCATTCAAATCTATAAATTAAATTGAAAATTAATTTTCGATTTTTCATTGTAACACCCAAATATGCTACCGATGTTATTTTAATTCTTTTTACGTAATCACGTGACTACATATTTAGGTTCAATAAACCAGCAATTGTTTTATTCTTCTTGAGTGATAGATAATTATGCTTAGTTAAATGATTAGACAATTTTCTATTGAATTTAAATGACATCTAATTTTGGCACTACTATTCGTACAGCGTGACTATTACTTTTGTGGTGTCAGTCAAATTTGCTCAGAGCTAATGACATCAATTATTAATTCGTTCGTGTGTAGATGCGCAAACGTACCTACTATTTTTTGTATTCGTGACAAAACATAACATAACAGGTCGCTTTCATCGTGAAGCCAAACTGTTATGAGGATTGCGTTCAATTATCTACATGACCAACTTGATATCCTTGAATTAATGTTCAACAGATCGATGAATATTAATAGACACGTTTAATTTATTTTGGTTTCCGACACTTCGACGAATTTCATGAACAACATATAATTCTTTGCCGATTAGTTTAACAACATTTTTCAGGAACTGCGACGTTTCTCGGTTTTTGTAATTTCACGATAATTCGCTATATTAATTTTGTTAATCTGACGTGACAACCATTCATTAATTTTTTGGTTGCGCATTGATCGTGCATATTATTATAGTTCGTTTAATTTTCATTCAGAACAAAAAAATTATCTTTCCCATTTCAAATTATATCGAAACAAGTAAAATACAAAACTCATAGAGCAAGGTAACAGAATTGGAGATGAAAAAAAGTTCACAGTGATAGCAAACATAATAATGAAGATATTTGCTTTGTACAGCAGCTTCACGCCAACGTGCAGCTCGCAATTGTTTTGAAGTATGCGTTCGGTCAGACGCAAACCCGTACACGTAACGTATACGGGTAACGTTACTAAAACGTATTGCACTGCGGGCACGTGGGTCCTCGCAGCCATGTGGTACCGGGTTCGCGGTCAGGTATTATTTATTTTTTCTTTAATCAGGCCACGCTGCGACCACAGACATACTGAACCAAAAATTATTCGAGAAATTCATATACGTCAGTAATGCAGAAAAGTTCATTCGTCAAGTGGCGCGTCGACGCCGAAATAAAACTTGGACCAGAAAAATCGGTTTATTGGTAATTTCTCTACTCATCTCTACCGCTACTAGTAGAACACATATTCAACCCTTTGCGAAGAAGGAAAAAATCAATTGTACGAAAATATTGAAAATTCGAAACATTTAATAAGTTTTTCCAAATGTTACTAAATATTATTGGATCTTAACTTAATTTTAAAAGTTATTCAAAATATAAAATTGAGGCTAAATCAAAATCTCGCAAAATATGTGGAGTAGACAAACATTGAATTGAAATTGTAAAATGTCAAAAATAAATTACGCTCAAATTGAAATATTAATAAATTAAGTGTGTGACGTGATTTTTCGAATCATGGTCCCAAGGCGGCTCCGATTACCGATACAGATAACGTTCTCGATTTCTGGTTCCCTTCGGGTCGCCACCCTGCTCAGAAGCTACGCTCTCGGGTTGATTCGTATAGTTATGTCAAGGCTCTCGTAAGATTTCGTTATTGTTTAGTTGAGGTCGAGGTGCTCGAATCTGCCGTGGGGA